GAATACGAATAGTGGGACCAACTATTCGGCCGAATACGAATAGTGTATCATCATCATCTTCAGGTACCTCGTAACAATCTGCGATCTCCTGCAGCATGTATTAGTTCGTGTGCTGACACACCTCGATGCCATGCAACAAGACTGTCAAGAATCTTCTCTCGTTGTCTTCCTCTATCCCTCCTTCCATAGATCTTTCCAGGGGTCACCACATGTTCCATTTTCCATCTTCTCATAACATGGCCGAAAATGATGACTGTTTCCTTCTAATGTATGTGATTTGTTGTCTTCGGGCTCCCGCCGCTTTCAAAACCTCGTGGTTGCTTTTTAGCAAGAATTCTTTTTCTAACCTTCAATGACAAAGATATATTGCATAAGATGTTCTTCATTTTATAAAATGCATCAGTTTTTGCCTGTCCTATTCTGTTTATTATTTCAGTAATGCATCTTCCATCTTATGTTATCCATGTGCTCAGATACTTAAATTTCTGTACTTGTCCAAAATAACACTATTGACTTTTTTATTACACATTTAGGAATAATTATTTTCTTTGATACCACCATTACTTGTGTCTTCCCACTATTCAAACTGAGGCCCATTCTTCCACTTGTGAATAGTGAATAGTGTATAAAATAGATCTAAAAAAAACATTCATAATATTAAATGTGCGCTGAAGATATACTTCATAAAATGTAGTACAGAATAGTAAACATTTAAAATCATTTTATGTTTTGCATCCTTCAGTCAGTCAGTCTGTGGTAACTAATACACAGGAATAAAAGTATTTTTAGTTTTATAACAAGTAACAAAACTTGTAAATTGTCACTGACAGCTTAGTTAATGAATGAAAGCGACTTAGGCAACAGCAGCTACCGCAGTGTATGCAGAAACGGGTGTAAGGTAACCAATATTCGTATTCGGCCCGACCGCAAGTATTCGGCCGAATAACGAATAGTTATTAGGTCAACTATTCGGCCCCGAAGAGAATGCGAAGCGAATATTCGGAACAGCCCTAGTATACACAAAGATGATTTCAAATACAAAAACCATCTCACCCGCGCGGGGTCGCTCATTGGCTCGCCGGTAGACAACTTCGTCGTGGGTTAGGACAGTATTTGAGTCTGTCTCCTTTGATCGCATCAACATGGCAAGAGTCCTTTTCAGAGCTACTTGGTGGCGAATAACCTGGTTACAATGCATCCAAAAGCTACCCCTTCGGGGATGCTGGCTGGACGTGAGATTTTACCCCCGCCAAACAAGCAGGACCAAACAATCTCAGACACAAAGTAAATATTGAGACCTCGATATGTACTTTGTGCGTGTTACAAATGTCTCGGTATTTGAGAATGTCAAAACTGCCAGAGTCTTTGGCCAGATTTCAAAACGTGAAAACGCATTCATGGCAAATTAATTATCGGCTATATAATTCCGGTGTACATACATTTGGACTTTTTTTTTTTTTAGCGCAACAGGGTTGTAATGCTTTACATTGATTACTTCTAATGGGATCTGCTCGGAGATAATGACGCACCGATGATTGACCGGGGAGGGGGGGGGGGTCTGGCTGACGCTGAACATTCAGACGAAAAGCAAGAAAATCATATAATCAGAATACTAATGGTAGCATCGGAATGAAACTCTGCCATGGCTGCTGAAGATCGAAGACTGCGCACTTATGGGAATGTTTCGAGGGCTTCGATATCGGTTATAAACTCTACTGATCCATTTGTGGACACTCAAGTGCTTCTGTGTGTATTCAGGTCAAATTTACAAGAAAATGCACACTTTATCGCATGCTGAAGGAATCAGTTAATTGGTCAAGCTTCCTCTATAAATGCTCAGCTTTTTTTTTTTTGTCTCCTAATACCCCTGTCCTACGGCTCTGGCGTGCATATATTTAAACTGTTTCCAGAAAAATAATTTACCCAGCTTGTAAACAGTGCTAACAGTGTAATATTTATGTTTGGTGTTATAATACCTGTGTAAAAATCGTGAGCAAAGAGTAAAATGTCTTGTCATGAGAGCTTCAGATATTAATTGCGATGGTTAAGTGTCTTTACCCGATCGTTCGTTTACTTTAGAATTTGAATTCAAATTCATCTGCAATACAATAAACAACGCCAATACAACTAGAGCGTTGATTTTTATCATGGTATGGGGCCTCACAGGCCGACTGTCAAAGCACTTCACTGCCGTCAGGACAGGAAAGCTCGTTGGCAGATCCATGACGGAAAAAGGTCTGTTCCTAAACACAATCGACCAACACTAACACAGTGAGAGCATACACAACAATCTTTAATGTAATTCACTATAAACAATGCGGCAGTTCACTTGGGCGAAAGTGGTTCGCGTTACCAACCCAGTCACCCACCTGCCCCTAATGTACCGTACCGGCCTTACGGCTGTGACCAGGGTCCGAACCAACAGACTCCCTTAAAGATCTTTTCGACGCTACTGCGCCTTACATTTGGTCCGCGGTGCTACCGCAGGTCTTTGGCCAGAGTGAGTGGACAGACCACGTCACGTAACCTGATCAATCAACCCTTCAAGGACCGCCTCGCTACCTTCTAACTAAATACATAAATCACTACTATTATGAAAACCCATAATCACCTACCTCTTGCTAACATAGACTAACTCATGATTTATTCTACCGTCACACCAACACCCTGTCACGACACTACCTGTCGCTAACATCAGTCAACATAACAACATCAAGCGGTCAAAACAACAACGTCAAGTCTCCATGTCCGTCTCTCACCAATCTTGCACAAACCTCTCGGGAAAACCCGTTGCTTCATCGCCTTTATTTATATCACAAGCTCACTATGTATCATCATCATCTGCAATCATCACATAGCCACATAGGACCCTGACACCGACCCAGCCTAAATGAGTACCAGGATGGCTGTCCTGGGGAAGTAAATACGGCCGGCGTAATGCTGACCGCGTTAACCACCTATTGCCGATAGCCTGTACAAATATGGCCGCTCTTCCCATATACCCGATACGCCTAAAAGCGTGAAAAGGGATCTTTACTTTTTTTTAAAATACTTTTTAATACAACTAGAAGGGCCTTACTTTGGAACGAACAAGGGCTTGGGCGTAGAAGTAGACCCCACCCCCTTTTTTTATTTTCTCACGGCCCACCCTACAGTCGGTGATAATAATGCTAAGCGTGTTTTGCAAGTGTGTCCAACATATGCATAGACGAAAATTGTGCTGACCTTAACCAAGACTATTTTACTAACTTCACCCTGTCCGAAGAAGACCAGTGTGAGCAAATTTAAAAATGCTCATTGTGTATGAATGCAAAAGAAGAGTGGCTGATGAATAATGCAATAAAATTGAACCTAGCCCTGTTGAAGATGCAAAAAGTGTTCATAAACAAATTAACGATTTAACTGGAAGAAAGATACGAGTAAGCACAGGATGTCTGAAATCAAAAGCAGGAGAGATCCTAATTGAGGAAAATGATATAAAAAATACACGGAACGAATACAAAAGAGAATTATATGATGGAAAGATAGCAGAATTATAGCATGGAGGGATATCATCAATAGAGCTGTTCCAGGCAACCAGGGATTGTGATCTGTGAAGACGCATGCGTGCCTTAGCTAGTTGGCAGGGCACATGATGAAGATGTGGTCCATGATTCGAAAGTAGTTTTTGTTTCTCGGCGCGTCACTCGTACAGGGATTCACTTCTTCCACGATTCGCAAGCTCCAACTGCTTGTCGACGACCGGGACTAGTTGCAGCGAGTAGTTAACCCCCCACCCCATCCCCCTACCCCCTACACAGCAACAGATTTCCCCACCCACGACTTACGCGCGAAACTATGGGGCTTGTCCAGTTACTCTCGGGACAAACATTGTAGCTGACGTCGACTAGCATGACTACCTAGTCTGAAGTTGATACCAGGAAGTGTGATAGAAAGTAAAAATAACCAGACAAATTTTGTCAACATCACCCATATAGTACTAATTGGTATAAATATATGACTAGCAACATATGCTCAGTGAGCTAGTATCGTGAAACGTTCCCTGTGTTTATCCTTGTTCAAAGTGCTATCTGGAATAAGAAGAAGAAGAAGGAGGGGGAGGAGCAAAATATCACGACAGGGGGAGAAAGCAATTATGAATTATTTGCAAAAACATTACTGGGCCCAGTTAACTTTCCCATCTACACACTGGCTGACCTTTCATTCTTACTTTCTCAGAAACTGCTATGTCAGAGGAGTGTCCCTTTGTCTTGCCTCCAATTACATAAGCACAGAAGTCACGTGTTCTATACTACACGACGACATAGCTTTCAACGACCCTATAATATTTAGAACTGGTCCTAACCCAACACCCCCCCCCCCCCCACCCTGAGTCTGTCCCACGAGATGGGCCGGGAAACGTGAACAGATCCCATTAGTGAATAGGAGTTCTATAACTGAGCAAGCTCGGCCTTAAAATTAAACCCTGTTAAAAAAAGTGTTATAAGGGAGAGTGCCTAGCTCGCTGTTGTTGTTTTTTAATCTACTGCAATCGTCCTTGAAAGTTACGTTGTACTGGCTATTCTGTGCCTTTCATCCGGACACACCCGATTTCATAAAATCCCAAATTTTTGCCTTCACGACATGCTTGCCTAAAACAAAAAGAGGGGTGATGGGTCAATTTTTTTTTTTGGTTACCCCCCCCCCCCCCCCCCCCCCCCCCCACCCCCATCTCTCATAACTGGGGTCCGGGATCCCACAATCAGGATTTGACCGATATCCCTGTCAGAGCCTCTATGTGACCCATTCACTGGCTCTGGCTCATGACGTCACTGCCACTATATATAACAGCCCCCGCCATTTTTTTTTATCATAGTTATTTGTCTTGCTGCGTCAGGGAACGTACGGACAAATCTCACAACGTGTACACTTTTTCCAACGATCTTTTATCTTCCACGATTATCTACAACTAAACCAGTCATTTAAGCAGAAAGGTATCACTGTCAGCTACCAATACAACAATGTCTGTAAGCCAGGTTCGTCAGAATTACCACTTGGAGAGCGAAGCAGGCGTCAATCGACAAATCAACATGGAGCTGTATGCCAGCTACTGCTACTTGTCGATGGTGAGTTTTGAGTTCAGTCAAAATGTGAAACTTGCTTTGATTAAATTAAGAATACAGCAGAATTTGTGAGGCAGAAATGGAAGTGCCATATAAATGCCATGGCCGTATATCTGCAGATGAGTAAGCTGGAAGTGAAAAAGGCCTTAATTGTTATACAATTTTCAGTTTCCTTATGAAACCAGAAATGTATCAATTATAATTTTTGCGTGAAGTCCGCCACATTTCCTGTCTCAAGGTCAGAATGGAGCTCATATGTTTACCGGTTTATTTCTAATATTTATGCCGAGATAGTTTATTGTTAAATGTTGCAGATAACATTTAAAGTAGACAAGATAATAAAAATGCAGTTTGAGTACGTCAACCTACAGAGACTTACGTTTTAAATGCTGTGCAATTTATTAATTAGCAGCGTGGAGGTAACAGAGATGAGGGATGGCGATCGTGATGTGTGGCTTTGACTTGACCCAACTGCGTAGTTTAAGTTTAAGAACATCAACATGATCGATTGGAAGCAAAAGGGCTGTATATTTTGGAGCTCCACAAGTGAAAGGTGTGACTGTGACTTCTAAGTAAACAGAGAGGAAACCCTGGTTGTGTTGTCCAGTTGTCACTGTTTAGTTGTTAGTAAAGTGTAAACGCAAAATTGTGTTGACCTTTCTGCCCTCATTTTACCATTTTTTTTTGGCAGGGTCCTTAAACCTGGGGACTTAACTCTTTGAGTCCCTAGGGTTTTAACATCACAGGCCCAGGGGGTAGTAAAGAAAGTAATTATATCGACGCATTGTGCGCTCATTGATTGGGCTTCTAGGTAGGAACGTATGATGCGTTCCTTGGGACTCGAAGAGTTAATAAGAATGCTGTGTAGCATGAGTGTAGGTCAGGCTGTACATTGCTTTTGCATTGCTCTGATAGTAGTACTACTAGTACTGTACTTAGTATACATAATTCAGGTAATGCTTTAACAAGGTTTAAGTTTAGCATTAAATGCAAAGATTAGGGGATGTTTTAGAGACATGCCATGAACAGTTGACAGGGGGGGGGGGGGGGGGGGGGGGGGGGGGGGGGGGGGGGGGCAGGAAGATGGTTTCGGATATCTGTACATCAGATAAATGTAGTTGACATTTTATTATAGAAAATTTTTACAAAATTAACCTTACCTAAGTGTGAATTCAAGTATTTTTTTTTTATGGATAGTTAACTACTTCTGCTGTTAAAAGTGGTGTCAGATGGAATAATTTGCAATTCAGTTCATGTTGGCTGGCACTGACCTTAAGGTGTGAACTGCCTTTATTGTTGTCCATCCATTTTTTTTTTTCCGTAGCTATCCTTTGAGAAGTAGTGCTTGAATATTTGATGTTGCTGCATTTTAACACTGACACAATGACCAGACCTCTTGATCTGTTGTTTCGCTATAAAAGTCTAGTACACATTGTTGTTCCCACAATAATATATCTAATAATGGATATTTACTGGAAAATGGATTTTATAGCTTTGTGCTCAGATTGCAATTTTAGCTAAGATGTTGCTACACCAGCACCGTTAAATACTTAGCTTATAATTTGTTACTCAACCTTTGAAAGTATTAAAATTAAACATTTGCTGACAACTTACATGCTCCACCTTGTCACTATGACCCATTTTTTTAAAACTTATGTTCTCTTTATTCATGACCCACAACGTGACTTCGTTAGAATTTTTACCTACGTAAAATGCTATATATGGTTTTTGTGTGTGTCACATGTGAACATTATTTCAATTTCAAACCATATTATTATGACTCCTCGGTAAGGTTGGAGATTTTCTTGTTTGGGCGAAAATAAGATCCTACCCTGCACAGCAATCTGGTGACAAAACTAGCCATGTGGACATAAATCCTTACACCCCTGCCCAGTGCAGTGAAAGCTTCTCTTGCCATTTGGATTTTATTATCTCTTATCAGTTCCCCCTCCTTATCTACATTACTGTCCGAATAGATGTGCGACTCCACACCTTCGAGTAGGGTACGATTAAGAGAAATGACTTCCCGTGTGGGTTCCGGGGCCCTATTATAAAGGGATAAGGAATAGACCCACTGCCTACCCAAGAGCATGTCTTAAGAGTCGACTAATTGAAAGCTTTCTTTGAGAGTCGAAGTGAATCTGCCCGAGAGGCAAGGAACCAGCAGTTTGCATACAAATGAGTCAGATCTGTTGAAAGGGATACACACGCAACACTGATTTTAGAGCAGGGCCGCAGTCCATAGGTGGGTGAACAAATATAACTTTCTGCCAGAGTTAACAGCTGGTGAACACAAAGAAGAAGAGAAATGACATTAGTATTTGCCAAATTTATTCTCAACATTGATTCCCTTAGTGATTTTTAGACCTAGTTGTTGGGATCTTGCATTAAAGTGTTCAGTGAATCTTGTCCTGATTCCATGAGTGGGGCAGAAGAGAAATATCAGCAAAATCCAGATCTCAGGCTGCACCTATTACAGAAGGAGCCTACAGCATATTGGGCATAAAGTGTGATTCTTACATTTAATGGACCAAGACTACCTGGTACTCATTTCATTGAGCCTATGTGGGCTGTATGTGCAGACTACAGAACAAGTACTGCAAAAATGTCACTTGTACAGCCCATTAAGAAAGGCACACGTACACAGGCAAGTTTATCACAAGAACTTGTCTGTCAGTGTAACTCAGGAGGTGAACACAAGTGCCCATTTAAGGATGGGCCGACATTGGAGACAATGTGATTTATGAAAAAAAAGTCAAGCTCTGTTAAGATTTGGATGGACAGACATTGGAGCCAGTGTAATTTATGGAAAAAAGTCTAGCTCTGTTCAGATTTAAATCTATGTCAAACGCTACACCCTGATGGCTCCGACATATCACACATAGATTATCCCACGTGATTACCATAAGAGTCGTGAGAAACAGAGTACGCCAGGCAGTTTTATCCTCTTTAAGTTCATAATATCTAAGCATGATTTTGAATGTCTTTTTGTCATTCTCTTTCAAACTTTACCTTATATTCCCAAAATTGTAATCTGTTTGCTGATCTTGAAGATGTTTCTTTGTTTTTTTTATAATTTAGTCGTACTACTTCGATCGTGACGATGTGGCTCTCCCCGGCTTTGCGAAGTTTTTCAAGAAGTCATCTGATGAAGAAAGAGAGCATGCTGAAAAGCTAATGAAGTACCAGAACAAGCGTGGTGGCCGCATCGTGCTACAGGATGTGAAGGTAATAATGGCTGAAGTTATCGTATCTGCAGCATTTGTTCTGTCCATTGTCAGCTTTGCCATTATTTCATTTTTTTTTTACTGTCAGCACTTTTAATAACTTGTTTTATCACAGTTTGGAGAAAAATTACACCCAAAGACAGCTCAAGTTAGCCTAAAAGTTTATGGTGATTTGTCTGTGTTATAGATTTAATATAATTTATTACACATGAAATATCTAACATTATCTTCTCCTTTCAGTTGACATAATTTGATCTGTAGTGCCGTTTATATTCTGCATTCTATATACGTGTTTCTCCATCTACATTGTCATTAGTCTTTTAAGTCTTAGAAATATGTCACCTTAACTTTTCGTATTGAAGATGTTACTTCAGGCTTATACATGTTGGGGTTCTAAAAATAATCCTGTCTGACAGGAGTAAAAGTCAACATTGGGATAGACTGTCCTTTGTAAACTTATTTGTGGTTGGCTGCATTTTGCATCTTAAATTGTGTAGTGTTGGGTAGCAAGTCTCAAACCAGTCCTCTTTTGTTGCTTCTGATGACATGCATGGTAGGTTTCACTTATAGTTTATTGCTTTCCCAGTGGATCTCTTTTAGGATACACAATAACAAACGTTTCGCCATACATTTTTTGAAGTCATTCCAAAGATCTGTTTTTCCTGTCCTCTGTCCAGGGCTTTTGTCCCACGAAAATACTTGACGGTATGGTACTCACAGCAAAACATATCTTAATAATGTACCGGCACCAAATGCCTAGAGATAGGAGCCAGTACTGTATACCGCCGGGGGAAAAAGTTTTGCCTCTATCACAGATAAAGATTTTATTAGCTCTCTGTTAGTTTAATCACTTCTATTCCATGGTTTGTGTCCAGCTCCTTCAGACTTAAGATTTATTTCTTCTAGGCTCAGTTCTTTAGGATAGTAGTGGTTAAATTAACATATGATCTAGAATATAATGTTCAGATTGTTATAATTGTATGTAAGCTGATGATGCAGAGTAAACTAACTAATTAAGATTTGTTCCACCAGAAGCCAGAGTGTGATGAGTGGGGGAGTGGTCTGGAAGCCATGCAAGTGGCCCTGCAGCTGGAGAAGAGTGTCAACCAGTCTCTGCTGGACCTTCATAAGCTGTGTACCAGCCATGAGGATGCTCAGGTTGGTCTTGTTTTTGTTTTCCTCTGTCTGAATTTCTGTGTGAATGTAATTTACTGTTAAGTCTATGGCTGCGGTTCTCAGCCTTTCTAATGTCCTGATCCTTAAATGCAGTTCCTCGAGTTGTAGTGACCCCCAACCATAACATTATTTTGCTACTTCTGTGAATATGTGTGTTCGATAGTATTAGGCGACCCCTGTGAAAGGGTTGCCCCCCCCCCCCCCCCCACAGGTTGAGAACCGCTAATCTGATTTTTACAATAAATTTTGAAAGGAAGTAGTAGTGTGAAAAACATCAGTGCAATATTTCGTGCAATTCAAATACACAGTAAAGCCAGGTTTCTTTAGTTAGTTAAAGGTAAAAAGTCGGAGAGCACATTATTTAAAAAAAAAAATATTAAAAACCCCAAACTTTTCTGGAAGTTGGTATATCAAGCAAATGGGGCTAGACCCATATTTGGCACTGAGTGATGTCATCATCGGTCTGCCTTTACTTCTCAGGGCATTCCTGGTGCCCATTTAAGGCTCAGTCGACCTGGGAGTCAAGAACATGTTAAAAAAAAATCATATGAATTTGCCTGTGTTTATGCTTCGTAAATTGGAATATTTGCATGCATACTGTTCGTACTTACCTCTCATGCATAGATACGCTCCAGCTTCAAGAGAGGCATCCCTAATTAGTTGCTTTTACTACATTGTTTGCATCTTTTCCATTCCCTCCTTTGGGCTTTCTAGTCACATTTTGGGTTATGTTTTAACATTTTTTGCAATTAGCTCGACTGCGGTCACTCCCTACCTATTTATGTCTAGCTTTTACTATATTCTTGTTGGGGGGAGGTGCAGTGGACGTTTTCTTTTTACCCCCAGAAGCCCACATAGAGTGTATTCTAATGATCAGTTGATTGATTTATTTAACTCTTTTCATCTTTTTTTTTTTTTTTTTTTACCTCCAGATGGCCGATTTCCTGGAGACTGAGTACCTAGAAGAGCAAGTGAAGTCCATCAAGGAAATAGGTGACCACATCACTAACCTGAAACGTGTAGGGACAGGCCTGGGAGAGTACCTGTACGACAAGGAGTCCCTTAGCGACTAAGTGTGCCTTGTTCATGCCCATGCCACATCGCTGGTGTCAGACTCCACTTTACAGCCCTTTGTTGTCCTGTTCTGTTCTGTTCAAGATACATGCCAGTAAAAAATTCAGACTTTGTAAATCCTGTTGGTTAAGGCATTTTTTTTTTTTTTTGGTTAATGTCTCTGCAGAAAGCTTAAATTAAAAGTAAATGTCACTATTTTCTGAGAAATGTGCTTTTTAGTATTGCTTTTCAATGTTTATATGTTTTTAAGTATACACAGTTTTTGCTGTGATATTGCCATTGTATCTGACATATGTGAGCGGAACATGACTTTTGTCATTGTTCTGTTTTCTTCTTTTGGAAGGGCTGAAATAAATTTATTCGTAAATTATTTCACGCGGTTATGCATTATTTTGTGTTCCGTAGATGTGTCGGTGTTCCCGTAGATGTGTCGGTGTTCAAGTAGTTATATACAGTTTAGTATCGCTGCTTCATACACACAGGGACTGCCATTACTGCCTATTTATACTACTGCTGGGGAAAGGGGGGTGGAGGGTCATATAATTAAATGGGACAATTGAGGGGCATGGAGAGCCAGTGCCCATGTGGGGTGAATTTTTCATTGTTTTGAAGCTCTGCCCTGGTTGTTGCTGGGGGCCCTAATGGTTGAATGGGGTTTCAGAGACCTCTCCTTGGGTAATTTGCTTCCAAATGGCGGCACTTTGTGTCACCAGGTGTTTTTTTTTGGATCTCTTAATAATGTTGTGCAGTGCTAAGCTATTTCATTTGGTGCATATAACCTAGTCACAATTATAACCTAAGGCTCCTCCTTCAAAGATGCTGGTTGTTTTGTGATGATTTTTTTAATGAAAGCAAGCAAAGCAAAGGAGAGATGATGGTATCAAGGGGAGTAGAGGCAGTGTGGAGACCAAGGAAATGGGCAGTAGCGTTCATGGACACAATTATTTCCTCATGTGGGTTCTAGGGGTGGAGGGGTACTCACTGCCCTCCAACAAGCATGTCAGAGTTGACTGACTAGGGATGAAACATCTGCCAGAGAGGCAAGGAACCAACAATCTGCATGCAAATAAGCTGGATCTGTAACAAGACTAAAGTGCGGATGAACAAGCAGAATTTTCTACAGGAATGTGAAGAGGAAATGACTGACAGCACACAAAACATACAGTTATGCTTGTACATGATTACAGTGCTAAACGGACTGAGAGTTCTTGAAACTGCACAAAATTAGCACATTTTATTTAACAGGGGAATTAATTATTCTGATTTCCTGTTTGGTTCCATTTTGGAGAGTAAAGAATAAGCCCCCTGTCTGCATACAAATAAGCGAGATCTTCAAAACAAATGTGCGTGTAAAACTCAAGTTCTGGGTCAAGGCCGAAGTCCAGTGAATGCAAAGATTATTATTCTGAGAAAACAACTTATAAGCATTGAAAACTAAATAGTGCAGTTGGAATGAAAGAATCGGCTGCACTAAGGTAATGACTCGACAATAAAGTTTAAATCGCCAGATGTGAACCAGCGTCATTGACTCGGTTATAAACCATAAGTGCTCTCCATCCAGTACGGATAGCTGATAAGAAACTTATCCGCCTGTGTTGCCGTCGGCACGCAACTCCGTAGCAACAGCGACGTTCTTCCATTTACCCCAGAGTATTAAGTCTGGTACCCCTTTCCTATAGGCTGTGCGAACCACTGGAACCGTCCCGTTTCAAACACCAGCCCTGGTGTGCAGTGAATCACAGTTGGATGTGAAAGCGAGTCTCCTATCGGCTGCGCTAATGCAGCCCATGGCTATACAATGAAAACACTCTAGAGAAATAAAAAGTATGAAGTCTTACTGGGTTCGATCCCAGCTGCGGGCTATGGGCCTTGCGTTGGTTTCGGCAGTGGTATCAAGAAAGTCGACATTCCAGAAAGCAATGGCAAACTACTGGACGTAAATTTGTCTAGAAAAACCACACAACAGCCAGGGGCTGTTGGGGTTGGTTCTGCAACGTCCTGTAAAGGATACGCAACTAACCTTACCTTACTAGGTTAACAATTAAGTCATCTTTTGGGGGAGGGTTGTCAAATGGTAGTGGGTCTGCTCTCTCCCCCCCCCCCCCCCCCCCAAGTATGGGTCCTCCGGACCCACACTCCTGGGTCAACCCAGCCTTAAACTGGTACTACAAAAGTCTCAGGATGTCTGGCTACATACTGTAGACTACATTTCACCTTGTCTATAAAATTGTGGGTCCAGTACCATGTGCTAAAATGGAGCAAGTTTGTGGAAACCCGATTGTAATGAAGTGAATCAGGTCTTGTCTCCGCGGGGAAGGTTGGCTGCAATGGATCTCCAACACGCCCAGTCTCATGTCCTAGTGTGTACACTCGCATATCATACTGCTGCCTCTCCGTCTCTTGCTTTGTCCTCACACACATATCGTTGCCTACCTCTTAATTCTCTTTTCCTTCAGTATGGTTTTTTAAAGTGAGTTAGGTCTTTTAATGTGGCCAAAGTATTAGACGAACTTAATAAGTTTAAACCCCAACTAAGACATGAAACAGTACTTCTTCTTCACGTACACCAGCTGTACACTCGGGCGGAAAGTTCTGGTTGCTCGTCCACTACTGAACTGCAGTCCTGCTCCAGAACCTGAGTGTTGCGTGTGCGTCAGTTTTACAGATCTCATTCTCTTGAGTACAGACTGTTGGTTCCTTGCCTCTCCGGCAGATGCACTCCGACTTCAAAGGAAGCTCCCCAATTAGTCGACTCTTACGACATGCTTTTGGGGAGGCAGTGGGTCTATTCTTGTTTTCCCCACAATGGGGCCCCGGAACCCACACGGGGGGAAACAGTAGTGTTCACTCAGTACGTATACTAAAATTGGAATGATACAGAGAAGATTAGCATGGCCCCTGCGCAAGGATGACACGCAAATTCGTGAAGCGTGCCATATTTTTTTTTACCCGGCTCTCTAGCGTAGTTGGCTAAACCGGATTGCGTGGTGACCGGGTGACGAACTCCGTGTGGTCCGGGTTCACTCCTGGTGGTAGGCAGAAAAGCCACATTTCTCCCAGATTTACTGTAGTTACAATGGAATCAAGACCGAAAGGTTGCGATATCCATGATAAAGAGCCTAAGGGTTAACAGCTCATGGCATACTAAAAAAGACATGAAACAAGGTCTTCACAGAAGCCCTGCAAACAGCTCAGGATTCTTCAAATGTCAACTGATGATTTGTCTGCTAGCATTTCTCCGTGTCATAACACACGGGTGTTGGCCACCCTCTCCCCCACAAACCTTTTCAGTTGTCACACATGTCTCGCCTTACACTTTGTATCAAGCGTGCCATATTCTAAATTCCAGGCACATCATTAACAGGGATAATGCATTTCGAATTATTTACAATTCGGCAAACCGTAGATTACTCCGATACTCAGAAGCTTCCGCGATCAGCCGGTTGAAACCAGATCTCTGTAGGCAGAGAAATTTGGTCGTTCCTTAAGGTTACCTTGGTGAAACAGACAGTGTAGAATGTTCTCGAATTTGTGTTTCAGTTTATAGGATTCAGCTATTTGCTTCATTTTAATCACTTGTTACTGTAGTATGCACCTGACGAGATACAGCGAAATATGCCAGGCAATAAATTGTGCAGTCTATTGTTTGTGTCTTCTTTGTTCAAATTCACATCGGGGAAACATTGCTTTAATTACAAAAATGTTTAAATGCGTTGCTTATGTCCCTCCCACTAGAGTTGGGGTTTGTATTCTTTTCCATTCCTTTATTTCTCAAAATAAAGCGAAATAAGAATAAACAAGTGCATTTTTTTCCAAAATGAGAATGACAACATTAATTCCGATTGTTGCAAGATAAACTTGACTCCTATTATGTTTTATTTAATCCATTCCAACATTTTTATCTTTATTATCCAGTTGTGCCGTGATAAGTAAAGATTCCTTTTCACGACCTAAGGCGTATCGGGCATATGGGAAGAGCACCCATATTTTTACACACCTTCGGCACTAGGTGGGTAATGTGTTCAGCATTACGCCGACCGTCTTTACTTTCCCAGGACATCCATCCTGGTACCCATTTTAGGCTGGGCCGACCTGTGACGGCCCGTTTCATGATAAAAATCCACGCAGCCAGCAGTGGAATTTCGATCGCGGTACGATGGAACGAGTCGGACTCGCAACGCCTAAGCCACAGACGCCGCCTGTGCTATGACACACTACAGTAAATCAATTCTTTACTGTTCCATGCAATTCGTTCAGATTCTTACGTGGAATCCACTCTGGCATCTCTCATTAACGTTCGTCGTATAATTTTTTTTTCTCTGCGTTCATCCTTTAATTCTAAAAAGGTGGTTTGGTATGTTGTGTTATGGTTTATATCTATGCTGGGAAATCTGCCCTTTCCCTCCAACACGGCCTTCTCTATTTATATACAGAGGGACCTGCATTCTCTCACCATGCCTATTCAATATATACTCAGAAAATATAATGAGAAATGTCACAAATGACCAGACTTGTGACAGTTATGATCCGCTCAAAATTGGTGGCAACCCTATTCTGGAACTCCGCTACGCAGATGACACAGTCCTTCTTTCGAACAGCGTAAAGGGAATAGAAAATTTAATATTGTCTGTCCAAAAGCACAGTGAAGATCAAAATCTGTTCTTGAATTTAAAGAAAAAGAAAACAATGTCCACAGATAAAACTGGCTGTCACCCAAAAATAACAATAAATAATGAAGAAATTTAAAATGTCACAAACTTTGAATATCTAGGATCTATAATAAATAGCAATGGAGACTGTTCAACGGAAATTAAAAGGAGGATGGCCTTGGCAATGCAAAGATTGAACAGCCTTAAAAGTCTATGGTTAAGCACCAGCAAGGAGATACAAATTAGAATTTTGAGAGCATGCATCTTTCCTGTGGCTACATACGGATGTGAGTCGTGGACTATCTCTCAGTAATTAAGAAAGAGAATAGGGGCTTTTGAGCTGAAATGTT